CCAGACTGGCAATTAGTTCCACATGGCCCACACGGGCAGCAGCACTTCTGGCAGCCCTGTGGGCTGCTATACTGTTTTATGAAGTGCCGTGCCTGTTTTGTTTGGTCTACAAGTCTCTGCTTTCAGATTGATTTTGGCATCAGGATGTATGTCTCTACCCCCACCCCTTTGGTACCGGGGATCATGCTCGGGCCCTTGCACTTGCGAAGCAGGTGGCTGGAATCACTGATCCAAATCCCCGGCCCATGTTTCTCCCTTTCTTCCAATTACCTGTGTTTTTAGTTGATTTTCTCTGAATAGCTGTAATGTGTCTGCTCCTCTATTCAGACATGTCGAGCTCGGTTTTTTTCTTACTGAGAAAAACATGATCGTATTTCTCCCTGCCGGGTGGGCACAGCGGCACCTGACACTTCCTGTGCATCCCGCCAGCAGATGGCAGTGTGGTGCTTTGGAGAGAGCCCCTTGACCTCTAGCTTGGGGGTGGTGGTCTGAATTACAGATAGGAAGTAGGACCTGAGGAAGACCCTCCGGAACTCTCTCATACTGACGTGGGGCGGGTGGGTGACTGCCGGTCAGTGTTGAGAGCCATTGTACCCAGCCCAAAAAGTGGTGAAATTGGACTGAGGTCGGTTTGAACGGCCTCGTCTGTCTGGGTGTGATGCATTTAGGAGGCCCTTACAGAGTGTGCCCTGCTGTGAATACCTAGCACGTCTGAATGTGGCTACAGCCGGGGGCTTTTTGATGTAAGCGAACAGGTGGAGGCTTCTGCAGAACCTTGCTGGGGATCTCCTGCTTGGGTCTCAGTGCTCTGTCTCACTGGTACATCCTTTGTGTGGCTCAGACTTCCCCCAGTGACATGTGAATCCATTTCCTTGGGGAGACAGCCTGATCTGCCCTCTGTAAAGCAGGTTACCATGCTAGAATGACCATGGCATTGTTCCTCAAGCTCCTGAACTTCGCCATCAACAACATCGTCTCCTCTTGCTTTACCACCCCCCTGCCCCAGGCTGACTCTCTTTTTCTCATCTGGTCTTAAATGATGTGGACTCTGACCTTTGGAGTAGGAAGAGAAGGACCAGAGTTCATTCCATCTTGCTTCCCACTATTTAAATAGAAGTTTTCTGCTGCAATAGCACCAGCAGTTAATGTCCATTCTGACTCTGGAACCCATATTTCTACTCTTTCTCCACACGGGCTTTGTATGCGGTAGCCCTGGGTAGTCTGGTTGGTTCGGTTGTTTGGAGCTCAGCACCAGTAAGACAGAGCGCTTTGATGAGACCTCAGATGATCCAGCAGATGCCCTTTGTTCCTTTCCCTTCGCCTCCTTGTCAGGATGTCCTCATCTCTTCAGCCCCCAAACGAGCTCCCTTTTCCCCCACCCACCGCACTAGTTTCATCCAGGTCACAGGACGCATGTGCCCCCAGTGTCCCCTTCCGGTCAGCCCATTTCCCCTCATGTGCACTGGTAAGGAAGGGCCTGGCTCCTGAGTCCTTTTCCCTGCCCGAGATCCAGTTCAGTTTCCCATGCAGCTCTCAGGTGGGTCCTGGACTCTGGGAGGGACCTGGTGGGGTGGACCTCGCCCACCGTCTGCCCACTGGATGGCCTTGACTTAGTACGTGAGTCCCCTGAACTACGCTTTCTTCCTCCCACAAAAGGGGTGGGAGCACTGACAGTGCTGCCTGCTACCCATGCATGAAAGAGCCAGTTTCGTTCTCCTGACCAACCCCTATCCTTTGCATTCCTTGGGCCTGGAGTATCCTATGTGACTATACCAGCTCTTTGCTTGAATGGCTATGTTTTCCCACCCTGGTGTACGGAGTCCTGCAGTCTTTCATACCTGGTGGGACTCCCTAGTGGTTCTATCAGCCTGGATAGCCAACTCTTACCTCCATCTGCTAGCCATGGCTCTGTCACTGCAATTTTTTGTTTTGCTGCCTGTTCAAGGAATGACGTTCATGTTCAAATCTCTGACCATGCCAATCCACTTCTTATCTTTCTCTTCCCAGGAGGCAGGGACGGGGAGCCAGCCAGCCAGCCAGCCAGACACACACACACACACACACACACGCGCGCACACACACACACACGAGGAGCCCCTCGCAGTCCTGAACACCTTGTTCCCAGAGCATATGGAAAGGAAGGGGGTTCATCTGCAAAAACCAAACCAAATGCACGAGGAACATTTGAATCTATGAGATTGCTGTCGAGACCGATGGAAAGGCCTCCAACACAGTTTGTACATCAAAGGCAGAACAATAGCATTTCTTTTGCTGGCCGTTTCCTAAGTTCCAGGTCCTCTTCTAGATTTGCTACACAGATTTTTTCACTAATCCTTCCCCAAACACTATAGGGTGAGTGCTATTAACACTCCAGTTTTACACATAAAGAAGCTGAGGCTGAGAGAAACAAAGGACTCGTCCAAGGCCACTTAGCTAGGCAGTGGTGGAACCAGCTGCTCACCTGGAGTCTGGCTCCAGGCACTGGCTCTCCGCGCCCCGTGCACACCTAGCCCGCTAGGCAGCGGCCACTTGCAGATGTGGGCACATTCCTTGCATAAGCTCGATGTGGTGGGAAGGCCGGGAAGCCGGGTGATTTTGTCATGGAGAACACTGTCATGATCGTGGCTCAGAATAGCATGCTTCAGGATTGATATTAACCTGTCCTTTGTCAGGGAGACGAGGAAGCGTGAAGCAGCAGGGGTGAAAAGAACCTACAAAATGAAAGAGAAGCTGTCGCCCCCCACCCCTGGGCACAAGGGTAGGTTTGGGGGACACAGGTGTAGGAAATAGTACACCTGACGGGATGGGCGCAGATGCTCCCCATGGTCTTTCGGAGCAAGTTTCATTAACTAAGTCACAATGTTCAGCGTGGCCTTCACGTTAAATACCTTCGTGCCCAAACTCTCATGGGGCAGACATTAGGTATAGTTATTTATATCCTTGTACTTTAAAATGTTAGCGTTAGGTTTTATTTAAAACCACATCTACTCCAGGTGATTTTAAGAGGCTTCTATTTGGCTTCTTCTCGGTGAGTTTCATGCTAAGTTGCCACATGTCGACTGCCAAGGTCATCTCATCCTGTGGTTAACGGCACCCAACTCTCTGCGGAGCGTCTGTTTCATTGGTGGAACAGGAAGAAATAACAGAGAGCGTGGTCCCCATCACTGAGGATCCTGCAGTGTTTCCCAGATGGAGTTCCAGGGCAGACACGTGGACTCATTAAGTATGTTGTAGAAGCGACCAGATATGTTCTCGTTTTTAAAAATCAGAAGCCTACTCTGCCCATGCTTTGGAAGAAAGGTGGAAAGAGGAGGGACTGATGGAAAACTGTGGGTGTCACCGATAAGGAGGCACTGCAAGACATTGGTGCTGAAATACTGCCATCCGTGTGCTGTCTGTGCCCTTCCAACAACCCTGACGTTGCTTCACCTGCCCAGGGCTCAGCACCCCAAGAGCCAGCATCTGATTGGTCGGGCCTGGATTGCTGGCTGCTGCAGAGGCGGCGGAGAAGCGAGGAGACCCCTTCACTCACCCTGGCAGAGGAGGCAGGGTGAGCTGACCAGGGCTGCCCTTACCTTCCGCAAGGCCCTAGGCGTTGGGAAATTCTCCCAAGCAGAAGATGGAGGGGCTGACAGAAGTGGGGGAGTGGGTGTCAAAAGCTGGATGGCACTTAACACAGCGCAACACAACACAGTGCCTTGCAGAAATAAAGGCAAAACAAACAGCTGTAGAGAGATGCGGCCGTCTGTCTTGATTTATGCAATATATAAGGGTTTTAAGAAGTTGTGTTCACATCCTGTGTCAGACGGACCAGGACACCGTCTGTTAAAAGAACCCGTTGGTGTGTCCTTTTGCAAACTGGTGCTACTAAACCTAACCTCCGATGGACTTTGTTGTAGGTGGAATTGTCCTACCATGGAGAGCTCCAAGGGAGCCTGAGCTACTCCTGAGGAGGAAGGCCCAAGTTGAAAGGGAAAACCTTCCCTCTTGTTAAATGGACCTCAATGGAAGATTCCATCGCCCACTGTCTAATCGCACAGACAGTTATTTCTGAAGAATTGGATGCGCTGGGATTCCCTTTAAATTTTTTTTTGTTTGTTTGTTTTTCCTGTTTATCTTTTACTTTATGGCTCCCTTCAGGGCAGGGAAGAACCCTGAATCATTTTTCTCTTAAGCTTTCTCCACAGGGAGCTTGCAGTGATGGATGATGCCGCAGGTGAACTCAGAGTCCCACAGTGACTGGTATTGTTGCCAACTGACTTGATTTTTGCTTCTTCCCCAGATACACTTTTGTTATTCGGATACACTTTTTGTTATTTCTTCCTCTGCCGGGAAAGTCAGCGCAATGTGTTTCCTTTTCATCTTTAGGTCGAGTCCCTGTCTTGAGTCCCTGCTCTGGCTCTGAGGACCTCTGAGGACACAGCTCGGCCCACGGCCCGTCCGCTTCTTCCCAGGACTCCACTGGGCCATGCGCTGTGAACAGCAGACTTGAGTTCATGCTGCCGTGCTTTGCCCTCTGCTCCTGCCCTTGAGAAGGTTCTGTTTTCCTCTGGGCACCTCCTTCTCCCCACTCCATGCCCAGGCTGCTTCGCTGCCTGACAAAACCTCGCCTGGCCTGTTTTAATGGGCTGGGCAAATTACCATTGACAGTCACTGTGTGGGCGGGAGAAGTTGAGTTTTATTTCGGAGGCACCTGCAGGCAGGATGACACTCACATTCTGCCATCAGAGGGGCTTCTGACTAAGAAGCTGACCCTGAAAGGTCAGCTTGGTCCGAAACCTGGTGCCCAGAGGCCTCGAGCCCTTTTAGCCCAACATGGTCTGCATTTGGGTGTTGTCTGACTCAGACACTATGTCATTTAGAGATAGCATTTATTAAATAGGATCGGAACATCAACAGCAAAACAAAACACCAAAGTTCCAGTCCATAGGAAGATTTTTTTCCATTAAGTGTATTGATACATTTTAGGTATACGATACAGTTACATTCATCCTTGGGATATTGTACCCTCACATGATGTATCTTGGTTTTTATTTTTGTCCCCATTCCTCTGCCCTCCCTACAGGAAGATTTTTAAGGAAGACATTTTATTACAAAGCAGGTGGAAGAATTTTACCTTGTGATAAAGGAAAATCATCTAATTTAGACACACGTAACGGTGTTGTCACTATTTTGGGGACTGTGATTGCAAACTCCCACGCTATACACAGCATCAAGAATGAAGCTGAGTGGAAGAAACCAGGTACAAAATAATATCCAGGATGAGTAGAGGAGAAGGGAATCTCCGCGGATTGTTTATCTGCCAATGTCCTTTCGTAGGTGGACTCTCAGCCCCATCTGACGCAGTTCCCCTGGTGTAATTGTAAATAGCACCTCATTCTCTCTCCTGAGTTCTGGTTTGGACTTTAAGCTATGTGGTCACCCTTCCTCTTAGTGGCTATCTAGAGTGGCCCTTTCTTTCTCGTTTGTGCTGATCCGTCACCTCCCCCCTTTCTATATGCTTGGCGTCTGTCACCCTTTCAGAGCCCAGAGAAGGTGGCACCTTCTTCTAGGAGCCTGCCCAGCTTTTTCCTGTGCCCCACATTAGAATTCTGAAGGTCCTTGTGCGAACCTCTCCAACGGCAGTTCCACTTTCTACCCGTACCGTCTCTGAAGACCATTTACTCACAAATAGGCCGCCTGTCACTTTCCTCTTGTCAGCCCCTCTCCCACCCACTGCCTTCACCACGATTCCATGATACGTTCCATGTCGAACAAATGTGTCTGCCTTTAATGGAAAACACTCGATGGCACTCTGCCTATAATTAATCATCCTATCTTTCTAAAGGATACTTAAAAAAGCAAGGGTAAAATCATGACTTTTATACAAATCTACAATGAGTGTGGATCAGTGGTTCCACTTAACTTATTTTGAATAAGGTACCCACGCTCTTTGTGCAAAGTCTCTACTTTTGTTCCATTATCATTCTAATTTTCTCCTGTGGGTCCTCCTTCCTCTTGCACAAGTGGAAGCATGTGTGTGTGTGTAATAACCCTGGCGTTAGGAAAATACTTTGTTTTATAGTATGTAGTGTGTGTGTTTTTTTGTTGATTCCTGAATTAATAGCAAGCTCTAATTAGGCCTGAGGAGGGAGAGATTCACTTAGGGTGAATGTTCCAGACAAAACAGAAAGAGAGAAAGGGGAGGAGTTGTTGTCCTAGAAACCTAGCTGAGCCAGGCTGAGAATGTACAGTCCTACAGAGAGGCTGTCTGCTTCATTCATTGGCATTAACTGAGCACTTACTGCATGCAGTGACACATTGTGCAGTACCAGGCAGCATGAAGATTACAGAAATGATTATGAATGTGGCCCCTGTCATTTGGAGCTGGGCCGGTGATGTATCTCAGAGGCACCATGCCTGCCTGGCAAGCGCAAGGTCCTGAGTTCAATGCCTTGTACCAGGAAAAAAAAAGTTAGTTGGAGACAAGCTGCTGAGAGCCTCAATTTGTAGTCAGAGAAGACAGGCCAGGATGGTGCAGGCTTGGCGACTTGTCTTAAGAGAAATACTGTAGCAGGAAGTTCAGGTAAACACACAGGTATACATCGTGCAGTGCTCATGCAGCGGTGTCTGGCAGGTGGGATGTAGGAGGTCAGACTTCAGCCATGTGGCTTTACGAGGCAGAACTGAGACTCATCCATTCATTCCATGGGCATTTGCTAGTTGCCTCTTTGTGCCAGGCTCCTTTGCAGGCCTCGCATTGCATAAGTAAGAAGACAAGAATCCCTTCCAGCCTGGAGCCAGCTTTTCCCCACAGGGGAAGTTGTGGGGAGGACAGGTCAAGGTGGGCAGGGACTTACTATAGCTGGAGCTGTTCAAAAGTGGGCTTTGCATCCTTCCGGGGTAAAGAGGGAGTGCAAGACCACCGGCTTGATCATCTCTCGGTGAACATGTGGGTGAAAGGACCCTGAATTCACAAATGACAGCCACGTGGCTTTCCACTCACCCCTTTCTTCTCCCTGTCATGTTCTGGAAGATCTGGGCAACAGTCTTTCTTTCTGGATGGCTGAGAATGTTCTGGCACCAGACAGCCTGCCGAAGGATGGGGTCCATTTCTGGTGCTGGGCTGGGAGGGGCACCAGGGAGCTATTTTCTCCCACCAGCTATTGAGACTGTTCCCAGAATACTGATCAGAAAAAGCAAACCCACATCACATTCGTTCTGTGTGCTCACTTCTGTGTCACCTGGCTGAGGAACTCTGGCCAGACACAGCCCTGCCCCAGAGAACAGGCACATCTGAGAGAGGACAGAACCCTTCTGTGAGGGAAGTGGGTTGTGCTCCTCCTGTTTGTGGACTGAAGCGGCCCAAGCCATCAACCTTACCAGAGATCCAGGTTAAGCCTTGTCTCCTGCAGTTATTCTGTGAAACAGCTCTGTCTGGGAAGTGGTCGTAGTGTTAGTAATGCCTAGCCACCATGGCAAGGGGTATCATAGATCAGAAATGAGTGGGGCTTCTACCCCAGGCAGGCACAATTCTGGGCACCACGGATACAAAGAAGAAAGTAGCCCCGATGTCCCGATGGTATAAATTTCCATAAGGAAAGTAACAACTGCTGACATAAATAAATCATTCTAAGCAGCAATTTATAAATCTGCTAACTTCCTGTCCTAGCAGTGGATGTGTTTGTTCGCGTTAGCGACTTACATATGTTTGTACACTTGGATTTCCAAATCTCTCAGCTACAAACCTCCTCTCATCCATTAACCCTGGGTGCGAGCTTGCTATTATCTCGGCAGCAGGAACGCGCAGCTCAATGATGGCAAGAGCGGGACGAATGTGAGAAGTGTTTCCAGAGGTCAGGGTGCGGATGGATGGTGTTTCCCCCTTTGTGTCCTTATGAGGTGAGATCTCTGAGAGCCCCAGGCCAGAAGGTGGGGTTGCCGAGGACCCACTTGGAGATGATTCCAAATGGAGGCTTCCTCTAGAAACAGATGTGTCCACTGCGCCACAAGAGAGGGACACCGCCAGGGCTCAGTGGCAGAAGCTTTATCGTCATTAACCTTCTGGATCATATTTCCCTTCTCTCAGCAGGTGGCTCTACAGCCATTTCCTCCTCTTGCATCAGTAATTGTCACTCTGGGTTTGAAACCCAATCCAATTATGTCAATCTTCTGCTGAAGATCTTCCGACACTTTGGTGGCTCTCAAAGCCCCTGGAGCATGGAGCCAGGGGCCTTGCTCTGCAGACTTCTCTCCTCAACCTTCTTGCAGCCAGTAGTGACTTCCGGATTCCTTCCCGCGGGGCTCTGCACATGCTGCCTGCGCTGCCAGGTGGGCGCCTCTCCGCTCATCTCCTGTCCCCTCCCTCTCAGCATTCAGAACTCAGCCGAGGCGTCACTTGGCCAGTACAGAGCCCTGACTCTGAGTCATCCTTTTTCCCCTCCTTCCCCGTGCTGTGGCTGAACACATCTGTGCGTCAGCTCCTGCTTTCTGATGATTTCACTGGTGACCCGTCTTCCCTACTGGACTTCTAACTTCGCAGGAAGACCCCATATTTATTCTTCCTCCCCGTACCTGGCATGTACATCATCGACGATTTTCTACGCACTCAACAAATACTTACCGAACACATTGGCACCGAGCGAGAAAGGAAAACAGCACAAAAGACAATGGTGGAATCGCCTATGGAAAGAAAGTCACAGAAGCGAGGTGATTTAAGGAGGCACATGGATAAAATATGGAAGTTAGCGAAACAGTTCGAGCGGCTGACAGAGAAAGGCCTTTGGCGTGTCCTACTTCAACTCACATCTACTGCCACGGACTGCAGCTTCCCCGGCTTGCAAACTCACCGAGGGAGCCAGCTCCTCCTGGGAAACATCAAGACAGTAGCCAGGGTTCAGAACCCTGGGGAATCCGACCGAGATTTTTTAAAAAAATTTCATTTAGCAAATATGTTCTTAGTTGTCGTTTTTATGGGCTGCCTTTAACATGTTAGCAGCAGCAGGAACAGTCTGACGTGCTCAGAAAGGATTCAGCCATGAGGCAGAGTGAACTGTGGTGGCTACGAAGGGTTACAGCCTTGATTTATTTATGCCATCTAAGATATATATAGGGAACATCAGCTTTCAAAACGGGAATCAAATTAGATGAAGAACTGTTTTCAAGGGAAAATTTGTTTGCACTGACACGATAATTCGAGAGCATCAATTTAAGTCTTTGTATCCAGAATTTACTGAGCTGTAGAATCAATATACTATATATCATCTCTCAGGCTGTGTATTATAAATATTTCATGGCTTTAAATATGTGCCATGAAGAGGGCTGTGTTTTAGTAGCCAACTGAGTAAGGTTTTAAAGCAATGAATTGAAACTATGTCCTTTTGGTTCAGCATGTTTTCATCAAGGGGCTTTAAAAATACATCACACAATTTTATACATCACGAAGAAAACATTATCTTCAAGATCAAAGCTCTTCTGGTGATTTCCGAATTGAGAAATGGGATGAGTCTTGGTCTTTAGTGCTTCCCTTTGTTAAAAAGAAATCTGCCCCCACCCAAGTGCATGTAGAAGTCCTCACTTTTTCCACACATTTATTTTGGCACCAGATAATATTGCTCTGACAGTGAATAAAGACTGAAAAGGCGTTTTACTATAGAAATGGCCTTGAAATCAAATGAATAAACAAATAACATTTAACAAACATTGTGTGCAACGTAATGAGCTATTTAATACCCCGTTTGAGATGCCACATAGGGGTTGCTGGTGTCCTCCCAGCACTCAGGGAGGTTGAGGCAGGTGGATTTCAAGTTTGAGCTTAGCCCAGGCAACTTACTGACTTAGCAAGAGCCCATCTCTAAAAACAAACAAACAAACAAACAGGGCTAGGGGTGTGAAGGCCCTTGGTTCAATCCCCTGTAAAGAAAAAAAGAATGCTGAGGAGAAAGAGGAGTATGTTTAGGGGAGGAAAAGAGAAGAACATTTTTAGCTAGAAGAAGGAAATGTGTTTCGTGGCATCGTGGAGATGCGTGGACATGAAGGAGGAAAACAGTCATGGACCAAGAAGACAGGTTGACCAGTGACATGGCGGGAAAATGTTGGCCAGGCTCAGGGGGAACAGTCTTTGGTCAGACAGGAGCACATGGGTTATGAAGTGGGAGGTGAGCATCAGAGTGGGAAGGCAAGAGAAGCCAAAGTACTGGGGGCTTTGGAAGTTAAGGATTTTGCTCTCTAGTCCATGGAGCAATGACCCAGATGTCATGCAACATAAAGACTTGTTTTTATCCTTGATACTAATGGCATTCAGGTTGCTTCAGGACCCATTTTTACTTCTTCTGAGCATAAACTGTACCAGCGGGTGGGCAAACTCTGTTGTTTATCTGAACTTGGGGCCAAGCCTATATTCCACTTTCCCAATTTGGCCCTAGCGCCAGTCCTCTTGAAAATCCAAAAGCACAATTTCCCCTTTGACTCAGATGCTTCCTTTAAATAGATCATATTCTCTCTGTTTAAAGCTGTTGTGGGATAAGATAAAGGGCACATGGTTAGAAGCCAAAAGATGAATCGTGTAGGGTGAGATCTATTACTTGGTGAGCTAATTATATCTTTCAGTTTAGATAAAACTCATTTTATTCGATGACACCCTTTTCTCCTCTCAAGGTCATGATTAACATCAAGAGAACTGGAGTTTTGGAAAGCAGTTTTCAAATACTGATGCTTGCTCTGGGTAGGTGCGTACTCTGGCCTTAACTTTGTAAGCCAGAAGTGGCGTCTAGAGATTAGCTGTTGAAAATGCTGTCACCTCACAGATCTATGACCTGACTCTAAGATCTGAGCCAGTTCACCCTCAGCATGGCCAGACCTTCCTTAGGTGCAGGTGAGTCCTTGGACTTCCTTTCATCCACAGGAGACAACAGCAAACCCTGTACCTCGGTGTGTCTTCAGGGGCGATGGCTTTGTGGCCTCTGCTGGGTTCCATTCCCCAGCTGCGGGAGGGAATTGGTCACAGCCCCACTGTGAACGCTCTTATTAGTAATCTTGTCAGCACCACATTTCATGCACCACAGTCTGCGTTTAAAGCAATAACCACCTTGAAGTTTATAAAATAAAAGATTGATATCGGTTTCATGAAACTCAGGCAAAGCAATATCTTTTCTATCTTTTGTTATGCCTTTGACTCCAGGAACTTTCATACTCACTGACCACTAAAAAAAGGAAATAACAGACCAAGGCGCCGGCCTGTAGCGACATTATTGGCGTGGTCCTCTCCCCACTTCCCTGGGGGGGTCAAGATGTCGGGGCTCAGTTAGTCAGAAATGGACCTGCTCATCCTACTGGACAACGATGGGATCATGGCCCTGAGTGACACTGTCACCAACCGCCCGGTGCAGCCTGTCGACCGCCGAGATGCTATTCGAGCAATATTAGTGTAGAAGAACTTCTGAAGGGTAGAAAGGCCCACCGAGAAGTCATATTTAAGTACTTGGCAACACAGGGGATTGGTGTATCTCCGGCTACTGAAAAACAATCTTACTCAGCATGCAACAGATTACTGGAACGAGCTACCAAAGATGAAACTGAAAAAAATGCCAGAGCCAGTCACAAAGAAGGAGGACATCCAACTCTTTCAACACCAAGCAAGAGAAGACAAAAAGAAGCTGAAAAAGCTGATTTTTGCTGCCCAGGAGAAGAATTTTGTCACTGGTTCTTTGAACTTCTCAATTCTCAGAATCCTTCAATGGGACCATCTCAAGATGAAAGGGGGGCACAGCACTTCTTGCGTGATGTCAAGCTTAGGTTTTATTACAACACATCAGAACAAAATGTGATAGACTATCATGGAGCAGAAATGGGAGCCTTTGCTGTGGTTGCTAGTAGAAGAAGAGTTTCTTTTTTCTTAGCCCCAACTTAGATTTTCGTGGACTCAAATGTACTTCTTCTCCCCATGGATTAGTTATGATTGAAGTTGCAGGGACTGTCCACCGAGGGAACACTTGTTTGGGCATTTTTGAACAAATCTTTGGACTTAATCCTCTGTTCTTTTGTGAAAAATACTTGGAAAATCAAATTTATCAACCTGAGAGTCATTGGAGAAAAATCCCCTTGCTCCTGGAATCGTACTAAAACCTCTGTTACATTTGAACAGAGTGATCTCGAGGCTTTTAATAATGTAATCACTTTGTGTGGTAACACTAAAGTAAGACTGCATGTAAAGCAGGCCGTGACAGTGGGACTGGAGATCAGGCTGTCGGTGGTGGAAATGAGGCACTGTTAAACAAAACAGAACCCAGTGTGCCGAACCCTCTGAAATGCTGACACTGTATCATCTTTAAAAATCTTTGTACAGAAACTCTTCCAAACACATCAGTAATTCCAAAGCAATTTCAGATGTGGGGTGTATTTTATTGCAGATGTATTTTAATCAAAATACCCTTCTCTACCACACACTTACATATTATGTGAATATTTGCCTATTTCTACCTGCGTTGTAGTACAAGTTGTGAGAAGTTACTGCAGTCCATTGAGTAAACGTCACTGTAGATGTAGCTAACTGTGTGCCTTAGAAACCAAGTAATGTCATCATTATACTATTCTGCCACTGTCCGTACTTCCTGCATGAGAAAGGATTAATAGTGTTCAAGGCTTCCTTAAGTTATTCATTTACTTTTCTCTAAATCTAGATATTGGGTATTTTACACATGTATCTCATTCCCTTATGCTTTTTTAAAAACGTAAATATTGTAGAGATATTTAATATAAACTCAGGGTTCTCATTTTAGAAAACCCAAGTGACATTCATGCAAATATCTAGTAATTTAGCAGGGGAAGAAAAATTCACTGCCTCTTTAAATATTTATAGAACATTTCTCAAAGTTACTTCTCTTATCCAAACTAAAACACTTTGCTAACATACAGCATGTTTTGTGTTATTTTGGGCAGCAATGACTGTTATTCTTTTTTTTTTGTACCAGGGATCGAACTTGGGACCTTGCACTTGCGAGGCAGGCAGCGGCACCACTGAGCTAAATCCCTGGCCCTGTTATTCTTAAACCTTAGTCTTACCTAGGCTTAAGCTAACAGCTTCGTTGAGCATTTAGGAAATATGCTATCAAAATTTTAAAGGGATACCCAGGTTTAAATTTTAAGTGAATTATTATTGTTATTCTTGATTGTTTGTGTCAGATATGATTCCTCTCCCCCAAAACCCCATGAACTTATAACATGGGTAGACATATACATATATCTCCATATACCCCACATCGTAATCTTATTAAGAGTTACCTCTTAATTTGTATTGCTATGTCTGAGTCACAAAGTTGCGCAGATGGTTTAATAACACATATGTTTTAAAATTTAAATTCCGAAGTACCCAACAACTTTGTTGATCCTGGATTTAGTTAAGGAATTTTAATTTATAAAGTTGCCACTTGGGAAAGTGCAATGATTGTATACGTTAAGTTTTAACATATGTTGCGATCCCCTAGGGAGAATGATAAAAATATTGGAAGCAGGAGAAAAACACTCATCTTTTTTGTATATTTAATGACATTCCTCTTATGAGGAGTACAAACTGGTATGTCTGAAAATAAGAACTTTAATAAAGGAAGGAAATCCCATTTAAAAAAATGAAATAACAATGACAATAATAAAGGAGGTATCTCCCAAGAACCACCATTTTGAGTAATGTTGATTTTAATTTCTTTATTGATTTCATGACAGCAGAAGACTCCTCACTATGTTCTTTGGTTTCCAAGAATGCTTTTACTTTTAAAAGCAAAGATTTATAGTGTAGAGCATAAAGGTTAATGTTTTGTTTGTTACCTGGCTTATTCACGCCTTGAGGACCCGGGGCACTGAGATGCTTGGTCAAGACTGTCCTAATCTTTACCGGGAAGGAAACAAATCAGGAGATGGGAGACAGATTCGCTTTTCTTGTGAAATAAAACATGTGGAAAGTAAATCGGTTTATACTTGCTCCTCCAGAGCACATCCCTTTTCACACGCTGTGCTATTTATTGGCACAATCAAGTGCCTGTAGCAAGTATAGAGTTTGAGATCTTTTTGCAAGTGCCTGCCGTCAGTATAGAATTTGTGGTCTGTGGCCCAGTGCAATTTGGCTTCAAACTTTCCAACCTTTGTCCCCCTACTTAACTTTCCAAGCCTGACAAGTTGGTCAAACTGCTTCCAGCCATGGCGGCACATGCCTGTAGGCCAGGCACTCGGGAGACAGAGGTAGGAGGACCCCTTGAGCCCAAGTGTTTGAAAAGAACCTGGGTCACGTGGCAAGACCTTGTAACCAAACAAAAAACCCACTGACAACAACAACAAAACAACAGCCCCAAACAAACAATCCCCACACAGCAGCAGAAACCATGAACACTTGCCCTTAGTTGGGTGTGAGTCTACCCTGTGCTATTTGCTTTCAATTTTTAGAGGCCGTCACCTTGCAGATCTGCAATCTGACTTGGAGCTCAGATCATCTCTTATTTTTCCCCTTTCCCTTCTTTCCTGCATCCTTTTTTTTTTCTGGTATCAGGGATCGAACTCGGGACCTTGTGCTTGTGAGGCAGGCGGTGGCACCACTGAGCTAAATCCCCGGCCCTTTCCTGCATTCTTTAGGGTTAACTGAGATCATTTAACTGTATTATTTTATCTCTGCTAACAATTGTTTTAAAGTCTTTACTGCTAGTTCCATCTTCCCCTTCGTTTCAGTGTCTGTTCCTAGCAACTAACCTCTACCTTAAGAGTCACAGTTTAATGCTCTTCTCCTTAGCTAGTGAGTTTCAACTGCGTGCCAGACATCATAGTATTGATTATCTGGA